TTCTTTTTTTTTAACTGAAAAAGATACTATCGTGCCAAACACGAATCATTAATCTAGGACAACATTTCAAAATATTTAAATGATACAGTTTGAGATTATGAGAGTATAAAGCCTTAAACACAATGCGGAGGAATAGCGATGGAGATAGGAATAACACGATTTCAATCTATCAGAAAGTGTGTATTCCAGTGTACCTAATTTCTGAAATCGTGTTGTTCCTATCGCTATCGCTGTTCCTTGGCATTGTGTTAAAGACTGAAGGCCCTGCACACAATGGAGGAAATATTAGGAATAGGAATAAATATTATTTCAACCTATCAGAAACCGTGTATTCTAATGTACTGACGTTGAGTATTATCTGCTGGTAAATTCGGCACACGTGCACTGACTCCGCTCTAGTGCTGCTCTGACATGGTGCAAGTGCAGAACCACTTTAGTGCTCTATGTTAGAGTATAGATATCTAAAACTCTATCCTATGTCAACGCTGAAAATCTGCAGTTTACGTTATATATATTATACATTTTCAGTAATGAATTTCGTGGAACTCAGCCGTACATGATGTAAAGCCAGATATATGACTGCGCATTATGATGTCACGTGTCGTAACGTATAATGTGTAATGAACCAATAAGAAATGACCAAAAATGCAGCCACGAAGTTCAAATGCTAAATTAATATACGCTAAATATATTATACGCTAAATTAACTCATTAGTTCTCAATGATATTTTTTCTTTGATATTTTTAGTGACATTTTTAAATATAATTAATAACATTTGACTGAAAAGATGGAAAAAATTGTTACGAAAATTTTACATTAGTTTCCAGTTTCCTATTTATTTTTTAAAGAAAGCTTTGCACGACCGTATTGAAGTCTGGATTTCATACATTGTATTTTCTCAATTGTATACTCAATTATTACCAAATCGTTATTATAACTAACAATAAGTAACAATAAAAAAAGTAACGACGTTACAAGTAACGCGTTACCTGTCATCCCTGAAAAATACTTACAATATATGTCTTTGACGTCCTTTAGCTTTTACCTGCTCTTAAGTTTAACGAAGCTTCTAATTTTATCAAGAAATATGGCAGTGTCTCGACATTAAGATATACTTAACTTCCAAAAAAAAGTTCGAGTAAAAACATGTTGAATAAGTATAATTTCATTAATATAAGGCGTGAGAAAATTCAATTATTGAATTTACCCTTTCAATTATATTTCAAAATTTATCATATAAAATATAATAATTTCAAAACTTTACATTAGTTAACTGCGTAATATAAAAATAATCAATGTGTAAATACAATGTGTTATTTTTTCATTCTAACTTCCCGTTTATATTTATTTAAATTGATTTATCATATTGTTCTGAAATATATTTTCTAACAATTCAGTTTCATAAATTAAAAAAAAAAATTGTAAGAAAAATATTTATTTAAAAATACATAATATACTACGTAAGTTTATATAAAGGAAGCAAGTTGTTACATATTTCCGAATAAATACTACAACGAGATCTGTCAAAAAATTTACTCTATATTATATTACAATACAATATATTTTTACATATAGTTTTAAATATAAAGTTTTAATTTATTTATCTGACATTAATAAAAACATTAGTAGGTGACACACACACACACACACACACACACACTTGTGACAATCTATCTTATAATGGGGCAGGTTGTATTACAAATGTTATTCGCCTTGTCATATTCTTTTTAATGTGAGATAAAAAACTTTAAAAAACTTTTATAAAAAAAGAAAAAATGTACGCGCCACAAATGTACGCTTATAAAATTTTGCCGTACGATGAAATTTTCAAGCGTGTTAATTGGCTGTAGGACAGAGAAATCCAAGATCCTCTTCGTCTCGCAGCCCAACAAGTTTGAAAAGCTTGGAGTAGATATCTGGTAAATGTAAAAAAAAAACGAATAAATGTAAGAAAACGGGTAAATATAATTTAGTCTAAGTACATACAGATATGACAGAGTTAAAAAATGGAGGGCTCGATTTTGCGCCCGCATTGGCTGTACAGCATAGAATATAGTAGCCTTCAAGGTTGAGAGTATAAGAAATTATATTAAATTTTATCAAGATTCAACATAATATAATTTTGCTTACGTAGATAAACATATAATAGATATTATAACCGTTCATATTTAAATCAATTTTAATTTTCATGTAAATACTTCTAAAATGACTAAAAAAATGTCTCGATAAATGTATAAAACTTTTTTAGAGTGTCACTATATGCATTAAAAATATAATATGTTATTAACAGTTTGATGGCAGAATATATCAAACATATTCGAATAAATGAGTCGTACATATTCATCCACATTAAATTTGTATTCCACTGAAAAGAAAACCGATTAACATTACGTCAACTAATATAGAATGTGTACATTAAAAGAAACGGAAATTTAAATGACATTTTGTATTTATCATGTAAGTATTTATTATGTATGTCGTTGTCGATGATATTAGTCTGTTGTGACTTCTCGGAAGAGAAAGATAGCAGCCATCGGAAACATTTTACTACAATCTATATTTCGTTTCGTTATCATTGTTGCGAACATAGCAATTAGCAGTGGAAATTATATCTCAATAGTACAATTTTATTATATAGGGTAAGTTCCTAAAAGGATAATATTTTATTTGTAGTGTGCACAATAGATTATTTTTGAAATAATGGAGTTGTGAAAACATTATTTGACTTTTGACTAAACGTTACGTGTTTAAGAATATGTACGTAAAAACTGAATTATATAATAGCTTCAAATTATGTTCTTCAAATGTATTCAATAAAAGTTTTATTTCTTTAAAGCGGTAAAATATGATCACTTTAATGTTGTTTTGTTAGGTACTGTATGAATATAATATGCTATAACTTTTGCTATTTGTAAAGTATTCGTAAATGTTTTATGACTTAAAATTAATTTGCCTTAAAAAAATGTTATAGTACAAAGTAAAATTTTTTGTAGTTATTTATAAGATATTCATATGACTTTAAAATATCAATAAAAAAGCAATGTACATATTCAATAAAAAATGTTTGTTAAAATAAGAAATAAAAACGTTTCAGAATTTATCGTTGGTGTAACAATATCTTTAACATAAACACAACAGTGCTGGAAATATTACTAAAATTAAGAATGTTTAGTGTTCCATTAATATCATTATAAACCAATAAATCAATCAATTGGGCTCTTGAGATAATTAATTAAAATACATAAAACTAAATAACGGGCAATTAAGAGCCTAAAAAACGCAGTAATTCGTGCGGTACTTATACACATATAATTGAAAAATTATCTATTACATGAACGTTTCGGCTATGTTCGAGCCATCCTCAGCGTTTTACAGTTCATAATCCTAACAGGAAGACGATCTAAAATTCAGACCATGGAGTGCAGTAAGCAAATCTCACGGATTACCTTATCCGGAGAGTGAGTGTAACTCTCAATTAGTTGATTAACTGATTGAAATGTACATCATAACTGCACAAAAATATATATTCCATAAATTCAGTTGACAAGAAAGAAATATTAAATAAGTAATAAGACGACATAACGTTCGCAGTGTCAATCGTAAAGTCAACTGGCTTGAACATAGCCGAAACGTTCATGTAATAGATAATTTTTCAATTATATGTATATAAGTACCTCACGAATTACTGCGTTTTTTAGGCTCTTAATTGCCCGTTATTTAGTTTTATGTATTTTAATTAATATAATTATAATTACAATAATATAACGATTTCGATAACCTCCCGCCCTCCCTCTCTCCCCCTCACTCTCTCTCTCTCTCTCTCTCTCTCTTCCCCTCCCTCTCTCTTTCTCTGTAATCACAGACAGCTATGTGCATTGCTTTTTTATTGATCATCATTAGTATCCTATAATTTATTAAAAACTTCCTGGTATATATTTAGAACGGCAACCGGAGCAACATGAACGTAGCACATATAAGTAGCACCGTAATATTTATCATAGCAATAATTATTCTCAATAGTAAAGAAGTAAACAGTTTTAGCGTTCCAAAGGAAGCACCTTATAACATGACACCCGTGCACTATCATATAGAGATACTTGACTACACAGACATAACTTATCGATATATTGGTAACAATGCTTTATTCTGGCACAAGATACTCGATTTAGGTCATCATAATGGATCATTTGTTTTTGATGGAAAAACCCGTATAACCTTCAATGTCCTTAAATCGACTCAATATATAAGATTGCATCAATCAAATCTGTTAATGAGTCGTCTAAATATAACTTTGACTACAGATAGTGGTATAATATATATATCGAATAAATACAGTTATTACTATGACACGAATATTTTAGAAATTGTTTTATCTTATATATTATTTCCCGGGCTCTACACATTCAAAATAGAATTCTTCGGTCATCTTAGAGAAAACCATAAAAGTATCCACAAAGTTTTCTACACGGGAAATCGCACAGCGTGAGTAAATATTAAATAGTTGAAATTATATATATATGCATTATATGCACACAATAATATAATTATTTTATAAATTAAATCAAATGGTAAAAAGTATATTATTATTTAATGTTATTTAAAGCAAATATAACTCTTATTAAATTGTTGTAGATTATTGTTCGGTCCACACATCCAAGCGAATGGAATGCGGCAATTGTTCCCTTGTTGGGATGAACCGCACTTCAAGGCCACGTTTAATATTTCAATAATACATCCTCGCTATTATTCGGCTTTATCAAATATGCCGACAAGGAAAATGACCTATGAAAGTTATAGTGATTCATTACGCACCAACTTCCATATTACTCCTCTAATGTCTACTTTTCAAATTGCGATAGTTGTGACTGATTATTATGACCTTAAAATTAACGAAAACGTTACTTTGTGGTGCGACTGTTATTCAGTAGAGCAGTCTCCCCGATTGGAGTTTACACGAAGAATCATAAATGATATCACATTGCACTTAAAATCTGAATTCAGTGGGATAAATATTCCAAAAATGGATCATGTTGCAATTCCAAATTTTCCACAAGACGGCACATCGAAATGGGGGCTCATCTTTCATACGTAATACATACTTCTAAATATATAACAATTTGTTAATTGAGAAAATTATTAAATCAATTGAATATTTAAAACACTTGAATTTTTACGTATATACATTTTTATAAGAAATCTTCAGTTAATTATAAAAATTCAATTATTGAAACAATTATTAATCCGTGAATCAGGTGGGGTGTGACCCCAGCACACACACACAAGATGAATTTCTATAACTTCGTAAAAAATACCGCGCGCCTGTTGCCGGTTTCGTGCAAATAGAGAGTGCGTTGTCGCTAATTATTAAACTAAATTATAGCATATTTATGATGAAAAGTAGCATATTTAAATATACCCATACATGAACGATGTTGATTTTCCACCTGGTTCGGGGAGGGTTAATAACTATTATTACACTAGATATTATTAATTTTATACAATCTGTACTTTAAAGTAGATATGGAATTTGCAATTGCATTCATTTCTAAAAACAATTCAATTTTATTTTATCAGCAGTGCATAAAAATATTGAAATATAAGTATCAGAAAAAATTAATAACATAGAGGTATTTTTTACATTATTCCGTAACAAAATACATTAGAATGAAGTGTAAAATATTTTAAGTGTTATTGACATTTTAATAATTCCTCATAATAGATTTATATCTAAAATAATTTTAAAAAATCAAATAATTAATAAAGAAACATACTTTTATTGAAAAAGTAGAGATAATCATGAAACGACTTCAAAACTTGCACAAATTAATGATTTTATCTATATAATCTGTTTCTCCGTGCTAAAAATCTACTTATATAATATTTTTTCATTTGTCTTTATAAATTTCATTGATAATTGTGCCTGCCACTTTATACGAATCACCTTGTATATCAAATGTGACCTGTTGTGCTTTATTAGTAGTCACCAAAATCATAATCCATTATCTGGAGATACTGGTAGTGTCTAGGCGCTAAGCCAAGCGCAGCGACACTGCCGTGGCTACTTTACGCGAATTCTATATACGTGTATAAATTAATTAGAAAAACGTTTTATACGCATCATTATAAACAAATTATATATAAATTTAAATCTGTAAAGAAATTAATGTTTCATCAACCAAAAAATAAGCAATAATTTTTACACGGAAATTATTAAAACAATTGTAATAATTTTTAGAGAAGCCAATCTTATATGTGATGAACAATCAGATTCATTTATGCACAAAATAAAAGTCGCACGTTTAATAGCACCCAAAATAGCATATCAATGGTTTAGTAACGTATTCAGTTATAATTGGTGGACTCCATTCTGGTTACACGACGGACTTGCTACTTTGTTTGGAGAAGAAACCATCGCTAAGGTTCTTATATTTATCAACATCGTAATATAATAAACTTAATTTAAAAAATTTGGTATATCTATCATTTTTATTCTTTAACACTTAAATCTGGCACACTTACAATCTTTTTTTACAGTACATACGAAAAATGTCTTAAAAGAAGAAAAACCTTACGCCAACTGCATAGAAAAGGTATCAAATATTACATTCCTTTTAACAAAAAAAAACGGATATGAAATAAATGCAATTAGCTAAGTATTTCATAACGCAAGCCATATAGATAGTTTGAAAATGACTAAAATGTTGACTGAATTGTAGTGAAGTAAAACTTGGCGTTCCCGGGTTGGTTTAAAACGCAATATTGTAGTACCAATGTGTCTTCATAGTACGGAAATTATTTGCAATACGAATTAATAAAAAAGTTATTACATACAATATTCTACAGACATATACAATACATGAAAACAATAATTCAACAAGCAAGATATGTTAAAATTGCTTACTAATTTTGTAAATTCGTTATCTATATATATATTTCTACATCTAAATATTATCAATATTATTTATATATATTATTTCTCCATAGTTTATATCACGTCTGTTATTTGTGAGTATATTTTCATGTTCACAAACTAGACACTATATATATATATTATATATATATATATACATATAAACTATATTTACATACAAATGTCAATTATTTTTATATTTTAATTTATAATACGAATATTGTGACGAGATAATACATTCATACAAATGGAATTAATGTGACCCGGGCACGCCAAGTTTTTTCTTCACTATAACCCATTTGACCAGTTTAGTCACTTTCAATATATTTTACGTGTCTTGCGTTATGAAATACTCGGCTAATTGCATTTATTTCGTATCCGTTTTTTATTAAAAGGAATGTAATATTCGGTAACTTTTTTATACACTAAGCGTACATTTTTTTCTTTTTTAAGGGGATGCTTATAGCAATAAAATATTTAGACAAAAATTTTAAACTGGAATAAAAATGACAATGTAAACATGACTCGTAAAAGCCTTTTCAATTAAATGTTAAAAATTTTTCAATTTAAATCGTTTAAACTTTTAAAATTGTATGAAGTTTTATTTTAAGAATTACATTCATTTTTTATTTCTCAACTGATTTATGAACTTCGTAAAATAATTTTAACAAGAATGTGCATACATGTGCACACAACATTAAGCAGCAGCACATGCTACACCATCCCAATGAGGATAGTCTTTCACCTTTACATTTTGTGTAATTAAGAAACATTGCTTTTAGATCTTCAATGATTCTAAAATCATGGATTTCCTCATAGTGCAGAATCAATACGAATCTCTTCATTTGGATTCTCACTTTGACATGAATCCTCAAATCATCAACCTGTTGGAAATTGATTCACTTTTCAGTTTTCCTCGTTATTTAAAAGGTAAGAATAGTTAAAGGATATTTTATTAAATATTTGTACATACGAATATTATTAAAAAAATTAATGTAAAAAACTTAGATAAACAAATTTTGTTCAAAAGGTTCAATTTGTGATTGATTAACATATATGTACCATTACAGCACTAACTGTTTTACGCATGCTCCAAAGTGCAATTACCGATAAAGTGTTTCGAAAGAATGTTCGTACATATGTAAACAGATAGTGAGTAAATATGTCAACTATAATTTCGTCGTATATTGTACTTATATAATAAATTTAACAGTTATTATAATTTTATGAAGTTGTTCGTAACTTTTCGTAATGGTTGCAATTTTTCTGAATATCTCTTGATTTCATATTTATAGGTACATATCTTTCTTTTCAATCAGTAATCACATAATGTTCGTAACTTTTTCGTTTTTCAGGTATCCTTCATTTTCCTTCATCTGTTTAATTCATTAAATTCGTTATAACTTTATACAATTTTTTGTGTCATTCCTTAATAAACTATTGTATAAAATTACCTACTTAAAGTGTTGAAATTAAACTGAATTTTTACAAATTGTATTACCAATAGTAATATATAATAGGACTTGTAATATATCTGAAATAGAAAATTGAAATATAATATATTACAGAATTCCATCTATATGTACAAGTTAATATGTAATCTTAAGTAATGAGTACATATTTACGTTGTACGCAATACATTATTTTGATCCCTGACAATAAATTTTTTAATTTATCACTTTTAGCTCAACGGTTTCTTTTGATTTCTGGTCCATGCAACCTATAAAAGCATTTAAATGTTATATACCATCAGATAAGTTCTTAACTTGGATAACGTATAGGCATTATCAAATTGTAACCATGGAGCAAGATGAAACTGATTCTTACATTGGAAGATTGTCGCAGATGTATAATCCAATCGGTCAGGAAAGATGGTGGATACCAATGAATTTAAAAAATTATAACTTACCGATCGCAGAAACATTCATGGAAAGTTTGACAACATGTTTAACACCAGATTCACCGTCTGTTACTTTATATGTGCAACACATTGATTGGACATATGATTGTATAGTCAACATACAGCGAGCAGGTAAATGTGTCTTAAAGGATTAGAATTTATGGTATATAATTATTTGCAAGAGTATCTCCCTTTCTACTTTCCTGTACATACATATACACACATAACACATCGGTCAATAAGTCCCGAGGCTTTTTGTGAAATGGCAACGGTAACGAAAATTTCTTCTTGTTACCATCACGCGCCATCTCTTAGATGACAGGAAAAAAAAATTCATGAAAATCCGCCCAGTAGTTCCCAAGTTACACCGCTGTGAGTGACGGTACTCTTGGTAGTCGTCTGTTCCACCAAGACAACGCGCCGTGTCACAAGTCACTGAAAACGATGGCGAAATTGTACGAATTGGGCTTTCAACTGCTGCCGCACCCACCATATTCTCCAGATCTGGCCCCCAGCGACTATTGGCTG